CGCTTGAATGCTGCCTGAACAAGAGACCTCCTTACTGAAGTGAAAGTGTTAACTGGTGTCACTATCTCGCGAACGCGCCGGCGGATCTCCACCCTTCAGCTCGAGGAGCCCTCTCGAACTCCACCCTCCGCGCGTCGGTATCCCCCCGGGATCGCTTGATCGGTCGGCGCCGGACCGCGAATTTAACCGCCCGTAACTCCCGAACCCCGGGGACTATCCACGCGGGGGTGGTCTCATTCGAAAGAGGGCCTCGAGACGTACACTCGATTCGCGCTCGAGAGGGTTCCCCCGAATTTGGCGCGGATTCGCCAAGCTGTTACGTTGATATGGCCGTTCAAAGTTTCAATGGTTTTCCATTGACTTAAGCTTTAAAGCGTTTCATCCAGGTCACCAGTAGCAAACAATGGAGCGCGCTCTGCTGGACAAAGTAATTACACCATTTCAAGCATTTTAGCTGCATTATATGTTCTGTAAAAAAAAAAAAAATTCATATCGGTGGCATATTCGCCGATACCGATATATTGGCGACAGGCTCATATCGGCCGATAATATCGGCAAAACGATATATCGGTCGGGCTCTACCAAATACCTCCCACTTCTTAATAATAGACTTCACTGTGCTTCTAGGCATTGATAAAGCCTTTGCATTTTTTTTTTGTATCCATCTCCTGACTTGTGCCTGTCCACAACTGTATCCCAAAGATCTTCTGATAGTGCCTTGTCACCCATAGTTGATTGTTTGCTTCAGTTGCACTACCAAGGACTGAAATGCTCCAGGAAAGCTCGTTCCATGCTGAACTTATCAAAATGACCACAGCTGATCACAGTTGAAAGTCAAATGGCTTTGTGTGCCATTGAGAGTTTACAAGTCATTTTTCATTTTTCAACTCAGTGATAGTTTTTTTTTTTTTCTGACGTTGGTGTAATATCTTTCACTTGGATGTTATAAGTTGCACTGAGTAAATAAAGCTGGATAAAACAAAAACTGTGTCCTTCTTCTTTTCAGGCTGCAAAGCAACATGATTATTTTAAAGGGGGGTGATTATTTTCTATACCCACTGTAGAACTTTTTGAGCCAATCACCTGGTCTCCAAATATCATGTGACTTATCATGTGCTGCATCCCATTCACCTGCTATTAGTTTTTGGTTTTTAAATATGGTTCTTAGCTTTAGATTTTTTTTTTTTTAGATTTAATTATTTTAGTACATCAAGTTAAACTAAATACATGAAAATGTGTCCATGTTTTCCTGGCAAATAGCTAATATAAAATGTCATAAAATAAAAAAAATTAAATATGTTGTATAAATATTAATATAAATACTGTATTTTATTGTGGTTATTGTTTGTTTTATTTAAAGTACGTACTGAAAGCATGTACCGAAGAAAAAGTAGATTTTTGAACATAGCATGTCATTATTTTATTTTATTTATTATTTTAGAACTTTACTTTTTTGTGTGATTTAAATTACATGCACAGAAAGCTGTTACATAAGCATGTGCAATTGCTGGACCATACAGTTTTTTATGCCTAATTTAAACAATATTTTTGGTAATTTGACACATTATTAAAAATGTTTGTTTTTTGCATTATTTTTGCTATAGTTTTCATTACAATGTATGAGTACTAGCCAGTGTTATTTTGCTATTTAAATACCACTGAGATACTTTTATAGGATTTATTAATAGATTCAATTAGTTTTAATTTTTATATTTTCTGCTTTTTAGTTTAATTTTAGTCATCTTAGTACATCAAGTTAAACTTAATGAAAATTAAACATGTTTTCTTGGCAACTAACTGAACTAAAATAAGTTTAAGTGTTTTAAACATTTCATTGTATTTCAGTTAATGTTTATTTTATTTCAAGAAACAAAATGTTTTTTATGGTTTTAGTTTACTATAATAACCCTGGTACTAGAGGCCATTTTTCTTAAATGGCAGCAGCAATCCAGCTAAATGAACTTCACAAATTTGTGTAAAACTCATTTTCTACTTCAATGAAAGCAAGAACATCTGACTGTCTGTACATAGGAGTTTACATGATCAGCGTCACAAATTTGCTTACATTTGATTAGTGTTATTGAAATATAAGCTTAGCTAATTTTCCTAGATACAAAATAGCTGCTTGAGGGTTGAAAAGAGTTCAAGTGACGGTTCTATTGACAGGGTAACACTGGGAGATGTGTGACGGGGCAAAAGAGCAGAAATAAGAGTGTGGGCCAGTAAAGATAGTTACCTGCTGACTGACTGAACTATGCTGAGATTTCAGCCTGGACACTTCCTCCTCCAGCCGCTGGATCTGCTCAGCCTGTGAACACGCATGCACAAAGATCATGAAATTCACATCACAAATGTTTACCATCAAACACAGAAATGTTTTGAGAAGGAGACAATAACCAGAGCAAAGATGGTAGCGCAGAACAAACAGAGCAGTGAGAAAATGGCTGCACTGTTCTGTCATAATGAGAAGTGGAGGTGTAGGTGTGTGTGTGTGTGTGTGTGCGTCAGGTTCCCCTGCTCTGCTCTCATCACATCTGCTGTCAGTAATCTGTTCCTGAGCAAACAGTGCTGGGATTAAGTGCAGGCTGCAGATAAAGGATGTATGCGTCATTAAAACACACAAGACAGACACGTACACACTCACAGAACCACTGGTGAGTAATAATGTGGCCACAGTTTCAATCGCGAACGCAGCTTCATTTCTGTGAAAATCATGGCCGTTCAGAGTGTGGAAGTGTGTGATCTGTGGGCAGACGGGCTTCTGCCGGGGGTTTATTTTAACCTTAGATATGAAGGTCTTTCAAAAGGCACAATTGTCCAGCTGTGCAGTGGAGAAGTAATGACTTTAAAAGCAATAGTTCAGACAAATATGATTATTTACTCACCCTCATGTTGTTGCAAACTCTGTGACTTACGTTCTTTCTAAAAAGGACAAAAAGCACAATGAAGTAGTCCATATGATTTATATGCTATAAATGAAGTCATATGATAAATTTGTGCGAGGAATAGATTAAAATTTGCTATTCACTTAAAGACATTCACTCTGTTGAGACAATATATTTAAATATGTGGAAGTATGAGACTGGAGTACAATAATGGACAAGGAATTTCGGTCTGTTCCTCATCACAAAGTTTCAGAAGATTTGGAATATAGAGTATCGGAAATATGGATGACTTCTATGATAACTTTTAGAAAATTTTTGTGCTTGACAATCCAAGGTAACAGTATGATGTCATAGTATAGAAAATATTGTTCAAATAATCCTCATGTTCCACAGAAGAAAGTAAGTCATTTTTCTTTGGAACAACATGAGTGTGAGAACTAATGAACGCCTTTTCATTTTGGGGTGAGCTATGCCTTTAAGGAAACAATATGATGTCCATGTGTATAAATTATAGGTCTGATTCTAGGTGAGGCTTTGCAAGCAATGCTGAAAAAAACTATGTTTAGAAGCTTCGCAAATAGAGGCGCAAATAAATTTGATTAAAGCTCCAGATAATCATAAAACACAGAGAATAAGAACGTAGCACCCATGAGCTCTCACTGATATTCTGACAGGGAGATCAAAAACTTTCTGCCATACACAATTGCATGTGTAATTTCAAACAAATAAAAAATAAAATAAATAAATATGAACCAATCAGCTTGTGCCAAGTCGATTAACTCTCTGAATATCATCGGTTACGTTAACAACCCATCGCCTGCGCCATCTAGAGTTTCATGACTGAACTATATATATATATATAATTGTCAAAGTGGCATGAATAAAAAATAAAATAAAACAGTCAGCACTCTGCTAAGTTGTAATCAGTGCTGATATTTCTACTTTCTTCTTTAACAAGTTCCTCTATCCTAAACATCTGTCAGTATAATGCATGTTCATGGTGAAAACTATCCCAAAACTCTTAACTCTGTAAAATTGCTTAAGACAGCTAAGTACAATTGTAAGGGTCAACTGGATAAACAGAATAGCATTAACCGTGGTAATGACTCCCAGACCATGTGACAAATACAGAGAGGTCAGAGAATATGAACAAGCAGCAGATGGTATATCAATGACAGATGCCCTGTCCCAAATCGCACCCTAAACCCTCACGGTCTTCCTCACTTTCGTGACATAATGCTGCTTTGACTGTCGGGCAGGGTTCTGCTGCGGAGCTGACCACAGTGGGGGCTCTGCAGGTGTGTGAATCGAGGGCGCATAGTGGCTGCAAAGGGGGCGCTCACAAGCATGCTTCTGAAAGCTAAAATGACGAATGGGACATCCTATGGTCTCATCCACAAGTGCACATGAAGTGTGTCATTTGAGACAGGACCAAAGACTACAATGACATACAAACTAGTACTAGAGAATGACAATGATTTCTTCGACATGTCTGATGGTAATAAATGGTATTCACTGAAGTACCTTGGAATACCATATAGATACTGTGGTGAATGAATATTCATCAATAGTATTATGGTATTACTAGCCGATAGCATCACTGCACCATGGTATCAATTTTATTTTAGTATCACTGATATATTATTATAGTTTTCGATAGTATTGTGAGTTGTTTATATTTTCTTTTTTTGCTTTAATTTTGGTTAAAGTTTTAGTAATGTTGCAGTGTGCTTTTGCCATTTTCATTATTATTATTTTTAAATGTCTACATAATTTTTATTCATTTTATTTTATTCTTTATTTTATTTAGTTTTAGTTATTTTAGTAGTTCCAGTTAAACTAAACAAAGATGAGAAATAAAAAAAATTAATTAGTTTAA